GCCCTCCCTGGGGGTAGGGTTAGGGTTTCCGCAGGGATACCGGCAGCGGCACACGCGGTGTTCCATGATTGAGGGGGTGCCGGGCACGCCAAGTGAACTCACATGTATCTCTTCCTTCAATAAATAGGAAAGGCCGACTTCCTCCGCCTCCTCCAGGTCTGACTCCTCCTCCTCATCATCATCATCCTCATCGTAGTCGCCGCCGGGGGGGCCGGCCTCGTCATCCTCATCTTCAGGAAATTCACATTCCTCACAATCTGAGCAAAGGAACACGCGTCACCGAGAACCACACGCTGCAGAACACGGCCCATCCCAGCGTGTGTACACGTGTGAGACATGGGATGTGTATATACAGTGTACACGTGTGAGACATGGGATGTGTATATACAGTGTACACGTGTGAGACATGGGATGTTTATATACAGTGTACACGTGTGACATGACATGGGATGTTTATATACAGTGTACGTGTGAGACATGATGTGATGCGTGTACACAGTGTACGTGTGAGACATGACATGGGATGTGTATATACAGTGTACACGTGAGACATGACATGGGATGCGTGTATACAGTGTACACATGTGAGACATGACATGGGATGTTTATATACAGTGTACGTGTGAGACATGACATGGGATGTGTATATACAGTGTACACGTGTGAGACATGACATGGGATGTTTATATACAGTGTACGTGTGAGACATGATGTGATGCGTGTATACAGTGTACACGTGTGAGACATGACATGGGATGTGTATATACAGTGTACACGTGTGAGACATGACATGGGATGTTTATATACAATTGTACACGTGTGAGACATGACATGGGATGTGTATATACAGTGTACACGTGTGAGACATGACATGGGATGTGTATATACAGTGTACACGTGTGAGACATGACATGGGATGCGTATATACAGTGTACACGTGTGAGACATGACATGGGATGCGTGTATACAGTTGTACACGTGTGAGACATGACATGGGATTGCCATGTATAGAGCTCACTGTACGGGAACATACATGGGAAATCACGCCTGCTCTGTATAACATGTTTCAGGTCACATTGTCAGCCCAGGGGGAGGAGGCGGAGTTCCGTGTGTGTGGCCCCCCGGTGGGTGGGGGTCATACCTGCATCGTCCTCCTCGGAGTCCGGGGCCTCGTTGTCCTCCTGGTCGAAGCCGTCCAGGTAGGTGATGTGCGGCAGCTTGCGGAAGATCTGCTCCCGGTAGTCCTCCAGGTTGGTCAGCTCGCAATTAAACAAATCCAAACTCTTCAGATTCTTCAGGTGTGTCTGCAAAGAGAAGCGACCAATCAGAGCGCGACACCGGGGCCCTCCGACCAGACACTGGCAGGGGGCGGGGCAGGAGTTATGTAAATATCAGAAAGACTCGATGGGCGAATAACAGTCGGGAGGAAGGGACGGAGCAACGGGGGAGGAGTTATGTAAATATCAGAAAGACTCAATGGGTGAATAACAGTCGGGAGGAAGGGGCGGAGTTATGTAAATATCAGAAAGACTCAATGGGTGAATAACAGTCGGGAGGAAGGGACGGAGCAATGGGGGAGGAGTTATGTAAATATCAGACTCAATGGGTGAATAACAGTCGGGAGGAAGGGGCGGAGCCATGGGGGAGGAGTTATGTAAATATCAGAAAGACTCAATGGGTGAATAACAGTCGGGAGGAAGGGACGGAGCAATGGGGGAGGAGTTATGTAAATATCAGACTCAATGGGTGAATAACAGTCGGGAGGAAGGGGCGGAGCCATGGGGAGGAGTTATGTAAATATCAGAAAGACTCGATGGGCGAATAACAGTCGGGAGGAAGGGGCGGAGCCATGGGGAGTTGTAAATATCAGAAAGACTCGATGGGCGAATAACAGTCGGGAGGAAGGGGCGGAGCCATGGGGAGTTGTAAATATCAGAAAGACTCGATGGGCGAATAACAGTCGGGAGGAAGGGGCGGGCCCATGGGGAGGAGTTGTAAATATCAGAAAGACTCGATGGGTAAATAACAGTCTGGAGGAATGGGCGGAGCTAGGCAGACTTAATTTGCATGAAGACTACCCCCCCGGGGGTAACACCCACATGTGATGCTGAGCCTCCATGATTGGATTGCAGTTCTGTCGATGAATAAAAGGGGGCGGAGCCAGGCTGGGGAAGGGAAAGTGTGTCCATGGTCCCGAGCTCCTATTAATCCCTCTCACTAAAGCTGATGTGCGAGGGGAAGGGAAGAGCCAGATGATGCCGGACATCCTCCAGCCTCTAATGCTGATTGTGAGGAGGAGAGGAGCCGGTACAACTGTGCAAAACTGAAGGGGAGGACGGAGGTCAGATAGAAGACTGAAGGGGAGGACGGAGGTCAGAGGGAAGGGGAGGACGGAGGTCAGAGAGAAGGGGAGGACGGAGGTCAGAGAGAAGGGGAGGACGGAGGGCAGAGAGAAGGGGAGGACGGAGGTCAGAGAGAAGGGGAGGACGGAGGGCAGAGAGAAGGGGAGGACGGAGGTCAGAGAGAAGGGGAGGACGGAGGGCAGAGAGAAGGGGAGGACGGAGGTCAGAGAGAAGGGGAGGACGGAGGGCAGAGAGAAGGGGAGGACGGAGGTCAGAGAGAAGGGGAGGACGGAGGGCAGAGAGAAGGGGAGGACGGAGGTCAGAGAGAAGGGGAGGACGGAGGGCAGAGAGAAGGGGAGGACGGAGGTCAGAGAGAAGGGGAGGACGGAGGGCAGAGAGAAGGGGAGGACGGAGGTCAGAGAGAAGGGGAGGACGGAGGGCAGAGAGAAGGGGAGGACGGAGGTCAGAGAGAAGGGGAGGACGGAGGGCAGAGAGAAGGGGAGGACGGAGGTCAGAGAGAAGGGGAGGACGGAGGGCAGAGAGAAGGGGAGGACGGAGGTCAGAGAGAAGGGGAGGACGGAGGGCAGAGAGAAGGGGAGGACGGAGGTCAGAGAGAAGGGGAGGACGGAGGGCAGAGAGAAGGGGAGGACGGAGGTCAGAGAGAAGGGGAGGACGGAGGGCAGAGAGAAGGGGAGGACGGAGGTCAGAGAGAAGGGGAGGACGGAGGGCAGAGAGAAGGGGAGGACGGAGGTCAGAGAGAAGGGGAGGACGGAGGGCAGAGAGAAGGGGAGGACGGAGGTCAGAGAGAAGGGGAGGACGGAGGGCAGAGAGAAGGGGAGGACGGAGGTCAGAGAGAAGGGGAGGACGGAGGGCAGAGAGAAGGGGAGGACGGAGGTCAGAGAGAAGGGGAGGACGGAGGGCAGAGAGAAGGGGAGGACGGAGGTCAGAGAGAAGGGGAGGACGGAGGGCAGAGAGAAGGGGAGGACGGAGGTCAGAGAGAAGGGGAGGACGGAGGGCAGAGAGAAGGGGAGGACGGAGGTCAGAGAGAAGGGGAGGACGGAGGGCAGAGAGAAGGGGAGGACGGAGGTCAGAGAGAAGGGGAGGACGGAGGGCAGAGAGAAGGGGAGGACGGAGGTCAGAGAGAAGGGGAGGACGGAGGGCAGAGAGAAGGGGAGGACGGAGGTCAGAGAGAAGGGGAGGACGGAGGGCAGAGAGAAGGGGAGGACGGAGGTCAGAGAGAAGGGGAGGACGGAGGGCAGAGAGAAGGGGAGGACGGAGGTCAGAGAGAAGGGGAGGACGGAGGGCAGAGAGAAGGGGAGGACGGAGGTCAGAGAGAAGGGGAGGACGGAGGGCAGAGAGAAGGGGAGGACGGAGGTCAGAGAGAAGGGGAGGACGGAGGGCAGAGAGAAGGGGAGGACGGAGGTCAGAGAGAAGGGGAGGACGGAGGGCAGAGAGAAGGGGAGGACGGAGGTCAGAGAGAAGGGGAGGACGGAGGGCAGAGAGAAGGGGAGGACGGAGGTCAGAGAGAAGGGGAGGACGGAGGGCAGAGAGAAGGGGAGGACGGAGGTCAGAGAGAAGGGGAGGACGGAGGGCAGAGAGAAGGGGAGGACGGAGGTCAGAGAGAAGGGGAGGACGGAGGGCAGAGAGAAGGGGAGGACGGAGGTCAGAGAGAAGGGGAGGACGGAGGGCAGAGAGAAGGGGAGGACGGAGGTCAGAGAGAAGGGGAGGACGGAGGGCAGAGAGAAGGGGAGGACGGAGGTCAGAGAGAAGGGGAGGACGGAGGTCAGAGAATAATAAGTCCCTATAATATGGAGATGAGGACGGGGGAGGAATTCAGAAGCGTACCCTGAAGACGAGTGGGCAGGGCTGACACCATATACTTACCAGGGCCTCCACTGTGCTGAGGTCTTTGATCTTGTTACCGCTCAGGTTGAGATAAGTGAGGTTGGGACACTTCTCGGCGAGGACCTCCAGGCCTCCGGAGATGCTGTTATCACTGAGCTCCAGCTGGAAGACATAAAGCAC